CAAAGCTATATTCTCTGTTAATTGTACTTCATATCCTGCTTGCAAAGCTACATTCATACTCCTTGTTAACCATTTGCTCAGTTATTCTAGGATATATTTCATGTTACTTATATCCCAACTTACAGAATTCGAATCTTTAAGTTTGATAAGAACAATTTACCCATAGCACTAAGTATGGCAAATAATACACTAATCCAGAAAATGTGAAATAAGGACACTGGCATGACATGACATATTAACCCAATAAACCTGACAACAATCAATGTCTGGTGATATTAAATAAACACTGTGGTGACCTATGTCTTGCGTCAGCTGTGAATGAATGTGCTGAAATGTGATGCTTTTGACAAAGAGAGAACAAGGGTGTGCAGCAATGGTGGGCTAACTGACTTCTCTATCACAATGCAAAACCATCTTGTAAAAACTTGTACTGCTGTTATTTCCCTCTTTCATCTCTTCACAAAACTTTGATTTTTTCCAAAATAACATTCATTACTAAAATTTCTCGCTCTTTTACTTAATATACTTATGTTTACTAAGATATTCTATTCCATACCATTTATGACTACATTTGTATTTCGGTTCTGCAAACTTCAGCAAAGAGAAATGGTCATTAAGAAAAAAAAAATTATCCGCAAAACTCTGCTTAGAAAATGTGCCATTTTACCACTCAAACATACTTTCAAAACATCTTAAACTGCAATGCATGTTTATAACATTTCAGGTCACTGCTTCCATGCCTATCATGGACAGAAATGGAACAAACAGAAATGTATGAAATGATTATAAGGCCAGATAAAATTGAAAAGCTACTTCATGAAGGACAACTTTCTGTAAACATGGATGAAGTCTTATTTTGTTTTTTAAACATGCAATGTTTTAGGAGCATAGCAGCTAAATTTCAGGGTAGGTCTTTGTCATAAGAAGGAGATTGTGCCAAAACCATAGTGTGGGTGATTTTTGAGTGTAAAAACAACAGCATGAAGGTTTTTCATTAGGCCAACAGTGAATTTCTCCCCTTAAACAATAGTCTGAAGATTCATTGGTTCGAAAAATGGTAACATTTTCATTGGTTTTTTAATCAAGGGTTCAATGGTCCGAAGGTTCTATAGTGAAGATTCGGACCAATGAACCTTTGGACTATTGAACCTTCGGACTATTGCTACAGCCCCAAACAAACACATACCCAATTCAATTTTCCATTTGAATCAGAGGCGTAACCAGACCATTTAAAGTTGTACGCACAGATTTTGAAAATTCCCAGGTACCATTATATTCCGTGAAAAATACACTGAATTTATGGAGAATAATATCATGGTTGGATCAAAAAATTGTACGCACAGTGCATCCGTGCGTATGCCTGGTTACGCCCCTGTGAACAGAAAACAGGTCCAAAAAATTATGATTTTATCAAAATTAGGGTCAAGCCCACAACTTATCATTTCTGTCTAGCCTTATGTTTAATGATTTATGTTTGTAAATTGTGCATATACATACTCCAACCTTGCCATGGTGATTAATCCTTCAAAAATTCCTAGATCTATATTGGATCAGTATGTCTACCAAAAACAAATCAATTTAGTATTGTGCTTAGCCAATCCAATCATAATACATAAATAATAATGTTAAGAATTATCCTACAGACAGACCCAAGTCATCCTATACCTTGAAACACTAGGTGGAGGTAATCATTAGAGTTAACAAGAATATGGTATCTTGAGATTTCATTTGTAGTTGACATTGATTCTCAGACTCAGATGAAGCATTACTTAAGGATAAAATCAAATTCTAATACTTCATGACATTTAGTAAACACCATAGAGTTGACACATATTTCAAATGCTACTAATATTCTAAAAAGATTTGACAAAAACAAAAATGAACACATTTGTATTTGACACTAACTAGTTACATATATCATACCAGGCAACTTTTGTGGACCACATTAGGACGTAACAATTGTGGACCGTATCAGGCAACAATGGTGGATCAAATTAGGTACCAATTGTGTACTACACCTAGCAACAATCAGTGATCACATCAGGTAACAATTGTGGACAACATCAGGTAACAGTTGTGGACTACACTACGCAACAATCATGGACCACCACATCAGTTAACATTCATCGACCAAAAAAGGTAACAATTGTGGACCATATCAGCTAAAAACACCGCACCACATCAGGGAACAACTGTGGACTAAACCTTGCAACTATTGTGGACCACATTGGGTAACAAAGTTGTACTATATCAGGTACCAGTTGTGGACCACATCAGGTTACAATCATGGACTGCATTACATAGCAATTGTGGAATACACCCTGCAAAAACTGTAGATCATATCTGAAAACAATTGTGGACCACATAAAGGAGCAACTGCAGACCACACTAGGCAACAATTAAGCATGATTCACATCAGGTAACAATTGTTGAACATATCAGGTTACACTCATGGACCACATTAGGTAATAATCATGAACAACACAGATTAACGTTCATAGCCCACACTAGGTAACAATAATATGCTGCATCAACCGATTACAAAGGACTACAAGATGTTACACATTGGCATTGCTTTTAATTGTGGACTATACCTGGCAAAAATTGTGTACCAATCATTGACCACATCAGGTAACATTTGTGGACAGCATCAGGTAGCAATTGTGGATCACAACAGGCAACAAACATTGATCACCATATATCTATTAACAATCACTGATTACATCAACTAACAATCGTTGACCACATCAGGTAACAATCCTGGACCATATCAGGTGACAACTGTGGACCACACTAGGTAACAACTGTGGACCATACCAGGTAACAATCACTGATCATCATATATCCATTAACAATAATGGACCATATTAGGTAACAATTGTGGAACACACCAGGCAACAAATATGAACCACACCTGGCAACAATTGTGGACCACATCAGGCAATAATCATGGATAACACTAATTAACATTTACAGCACACACAAGGCAGCAACCATATTTTGCATCAACCATTTACTATGGACCACACCTTGTAAAACATGGGCATTGCTTTTAACAATGTGTGAACCATGTCAGGCAAAACTTTTGTGGGCCATTTCAAGCAACAACCATGGACCTCAACATCAAAACATCTGTGGACCTCATATGGGAATAGATATGGACCACACTAAGACCTACTATGGGAACTGCTTTAATCAACAAAAGTTGAGCACAATAGACAGCAACTTTGCAGGGGACAAATTGCAATCATACCAGGTAACAACCATGGACCACAACAGGCAACAACTATGGACCACACCAAGCAAGAAATGTTTACCACAACAGGCAAATACTATGGGCCACACTAGGCAAAAACTACACCACACTGAGGGGTGCTGACTGTCACAACAGGTAACAAACTGGGCAATACTTTTGAAACCATCTTTAGATCACAGCAAGAAACAGCTTATACCACATCAGCCAGGCAATATTGTACATCACATCAGATGACAGCTGCAGACCATGAGCAATTTTCATTTCCAAAAATTGCTACATTCTGAAACAGGTAGCAGAAATGCAAAAAAAAAAAACAACAATTTTGTTTCCAAAGATACTATTATATGTACCTGAAGAATTGCTTTTTTAGAGGTTAGCAAATAACAAAAAGATACTAAAATGAAAGATACTATTGTTGCAAAAACAGGCACAAAGCTCATAGCCAGAGCTGCCTTGTTACTCTCTAGGCTACATCACTTTTAACATACCAAATACTTGCAACAGAACCAAAACATCTCTTTTTATATTTCTTTTAAAGCAAGATATATTTTGATACTATATTGCTTCAAAATGATGCAGAGAACATTCTTCTTCATTCCCCATGTCATCTTATCTATCTTGCAACATTCATTTCAAGCTGACTACAAAGAAAATTAATCCCCTTTTGGTAGGAAACAAGTGCATAGTATCATATCATTCATAAAGAGCTAGAATTATTACCTTCCTGATTCACACCAGTAAATGATAAACTACAGACTGTGGCAGACACCAACAAGGAGGGAACATGCCAATGCCTATCACAATCAATGAAATTGGACTTGCAAAATGTGTTAATGCTTTAAACAGTTTCTGGTCAATAACTCAGAGCAAAGCATCAGGTCCCTCTGCCTGGTGAAAACGCCAGATAAAACGCTAATTGATTTCTTTTCGGACAAACTGAACTGAACAAGTATGCTAGCTATATCAGTTTCAGTTTATACTCTGAAACCCCAATGTTCTTCTATATTTGAGCTCTCTCGGTCTTTATTGTAAAAAGCATAATAAGTATGTACGTAACAACAGAACTAACAATTCCCTTTTGGATTATAAAAATGTTTTTTTTTTTTTTGCATTTTGCATCAACATCTCTGTTTTCATTTTAGCTTTTTAAAGTCATTTTCAGTTTCATTATTCTGGAAAGATTATCAGCGCTTGTAAAAAGCCAGGTCGCCCTTCGTACAGCATGTGGAGTTTGCTGCGTATACCTACATACACCTTATCAACAATTCAAATTGTTCCAAGTGTCATATGGCAAGACGTAATGGCTCACTGATGCCTTTCTTTTCACAGCAGCCCCAGACCATTGTTGGTAAAAGATTATTTTAGGATGAAACTGAAATATTCAGAATTTCTCACTTCCTGGATGATATTACTACATAAGTGGATTAGAGCACATTTTGCAAAGTGCAATTTATATCATAACAAAAATAAAATCATCAATGCTGAGGAATGAGAGCTGACATAATTATGTGTAAGCTACAACTTAGGAGTTATATTATGAAGTAGAAAGGGTAATAAAAAGGGCAATTGCCACCATTACTTATTACACCATCTTAAAAAGAAGTTGGAAGGAGTTGGGCTCTTTTGAAAAGCTAAGACCAAATAATAAGAGAGACATACCATCCCAATAGCAGACAATTACATAATGTGATTTCACAAATGTCAGATGAAAAGAAAAGAGTTACCGAAATGTCTTTATACTCACCCCTGGCAGTGTTTTCTGTTCATGTAAAGCTTGTTGAGCCTTAATTGCACTGTCCCGGTTACAGTAGGTAAGGAAGGCACAGCCTGGAATGGGAGACAGACAAATGTGACGATATCTAACATTTTATAATTACCACGCTTACACCAGTTTAACATGTAAAACTAGTCACTGACTGCCAGCATCAGATCACTTTGCATTTAGGGATAACTGAAATATGTTAATTGATTTTATTGCTTCAGGCTGTGACTTGAGGAAAAACATGAAATAACAGGCTGAGCAAACTGCTTGCCTGACTCTGAACCAAATTAACTTTCATATAACCAGATTTTTGGCATCATTGGTTACGAGCAAATCAAATGGTCCATAGGTGTTAAAACAATTAATATAAGCCACCAAAACTGCATCTCATATTTTTTAAAGTAACGCAGTGAGTGTTAATTCCTTTCACTCTCCTTTCAATGTTCCTTTGGAAACTTCAACAGTTTTCCCTTTAATCACCAAGGCACACCATATCCACATATATCCATTCACAGAATTAAGATCCAAAAACTGGTTTTTGAGTTTTAGATTTCTAATATTTGAGGCAATCTTGTAATGGAGAGTTGGGCCAGTGAATTTCACTCATGGCTGTAAAAAATAGAAATTAAGGATTTTAAAAAAATTTGTAGACTGCAATTCTGTGAACAGTTTTGAATATATATATATATATATATATATATATATATATATATATATATATATATATATATATATATAAAATTCTTTATTATATAAAGCTTTAGCACTCATTCCCTGCCTTTAAAGAAAATCTTTATGAATGAGTATATTTAATTTTGTACTTACACAAATATAATGACAAAAAGCACACAAAGCAGCTAGTTTTCATCAAATGGCCATTACTTTACACAATCTGCAGGCTACAAATATGTCATGTATCTCCCAATTACCATTAAGAGTGTCTGTAAGTATTATGTTTTTCATTATCACTCATGCCTCTGACATTTAATATGTGTCACATCAGTGCATTGAACAGCAAAATGGACTCTGAATGATGCTTTGCGAGAGGGACATTTCTGTTAATTTTTTGTTTATTTTTGGTTGTCAAATGCTTGAAGTTATTTCATTTTTTTAAAATAAAGGATTTTCAACAAGTTTTTGAATAGCTGACAAAATTAATTTTATTCTTACAGTGTTGATCAACAACATTAAGCAATAAATAAGGGATGCGAGCCACAAATTTACAATTTCAATACAATAAAAATCTTCAATATCTATGAGAAGACGTGATGTCAGTTAACTGCTCATATAGCCTGTGAGTTCTCTTGCATGCCAATGGTTAAACAAGATGTCAATTGATTTGTCTGGACGTAATTAGTTACTGTTGAATTGACATGATCAATTTTGATGAGATGAATATGTGCCACTCCCAATAGGAATTCTCTTGCACTCTGATTGAGTTTCAAATGAAATGAACTTTTTACTTCAACAAACAATTATTTATTCAAACAGATAGGCCTAAATTGTGTGAACAAGATGGAAAATGGCAAAAACAAACAAACAAACAAAAAACATTTTACTTTAACTACAATGTTTAGATACAAGTCATTCATCTTTTTCAATAATTTGAATACCAAGAAAACAAAAAAACATCACATCACATATTTAGTCTCGTGTGTATGTGTGTGTGTGCTTTTTCTATTTTAAGGAAATTAGCTGAATATTATGGAATATTGAATAAAAATCTTGGCGTGCATAGTACGACAGACTAATTAAAGCATGGCCAGAATTGTGACTGAAACTGTACCTAGGACTTTTTTTTTTCTTTTTTATTCTAGAAGATACCTGTATATTGATTGCCTCTCTTCAGGTCATTGCACAGCATGTTTCACAAAGTGTTATGAATCATTCACTCGTTATGTATATGTTACAGTATAAAAATAAAACTTGTGGCAGGTATAATGTGTCATGAATTTTAGATGGAAGTAACACAATTGCTGAAGGATAATAGTTTTTTCAAGTAGACTTATTTTTGTTAAAAGAAGTTATATTTCAAGTTTCAAATTTAGTAAGTTTCCAGTCTATAATTGGTGTCTTTATATGCCACACTGCCAGCAGCAATAGCTGTGGTTGTACTTGCAATTCAAACAGGGTAAGAATACCCTACCAGGTAATGACAAATATGCCATATGATTTTTTATGTTTTCTTGAAATTTAAATGATTGAAAAATTGATGCGTTATCCTATATAAACACAAACTGGCATAGCCACAAGTGGCACCAGGTTTGTGGTGGTTGAAGTGGTGTGAACACTCCCAGCCAGCATCTAGTCTTGTAATGGCAGACCCATGGGGTTCACACTCACCTCTCCTGCTGGTTGTTGGTTATGTGAATGTTTCATGCCATACTGTTTCATTTTCCCCAGACACCTAGGACCATGTGACCATGTGGTTGATTTCAAGATGCTACAAACTGACAAGGGAGAAAAATAGGGCCCAGCGTTACACTTAACTTGCCTGGTTCACTTTGAGAGGTCCAACATGTTATTAAGCTATAGAGGTTTTTACTCCCTTTCACAATTGCTCCCAAAGTTTGCTTCCTGCTGTTAAGTTAGTGAAGTAAATTAATTGGTCAGATAGAGTGTGGGGGCTCCATTTAGCCATTTAGAAGTCAATGTCTTGGTCCAGTTAAGTATACTGCTCATTGTGAAAAAGGGGCCATAGCAACAGTCTGAAGGTTCATTGGTCCAAATGTTCACTACAGAACTTTTGGACCAATGAAACCTTGATTAAAAAAACGATGAAAATGTTACCATTTTCGGACCAATGATCCTTCTGACCAGTGAACCTTCGGAATATCAAGACCCCCACGTGAAAAAGGCCTTACATGAAGCTAATCAGGACCTTTTCATTTTGGTGGGATATATTTAAGTGCCATAAAATGGATTTTCCTGGGAAGACAATGTTCCCATACTTACTAGTGGTTAATGAATCTCTTGCGACATGCAAAGTTTTTTTAAGTGTATTTTTTGCAGAAATCTCTTTAGAGATAATTTGGAGAGTATAGCCATCTATGAAGGTCCATGTGGTCCCATGGCAGGCACAGATGTCAGACTAATTGTGATATCTACTATTTTGATGGTAAAATGGAATTTTTTTATTTCTATGTGCTGTTTTCAAGGTATTTATTATGGCACTTTGAATCTCATATGAAGAGTCGTTATCCTTAGTACCAACAGATATTCACCTCTGTCGGGTGCTCTGTCCCAGTAATCTGGTTCACTGTTTCATCATGATCATCCTTCAGCCACAGGAATAGAATGCTACAAGAGTATCACCGTCACATCAAAACTCAGTACATTTGATAATAATATTGATCTTCAACTGTGCCTTTTGGCTAAAATTTATCTCATCTGGTGATAATGATTAATTAATTCATTCATACATCTTCAAGAACAATATGTCATTCCAAAGTATTTAGTTGATATCCAAGTCTCTTTATTTGATGTACTGCATTATTTCTACCACAAGATCTCAAGATGTGATTTGTACTATGGAACATTAAGTATACCTCCCTCACGTGCAATCACACAGAGAATGGAAAATAGTGTGACAATGTTCCAGCTTTAGAATGTGACCACTTTGCCCTTCCATTTGTTCAACCATGGGATCTGACAGAAAGTTATGGGTATACACCCTAACTTCCATAGCTTTTTGAATGAAGATAAGAGTTGACAAATAAACTGACACTACTTTAATTCTTCAAACATGAAAAAAAAAGGTTTGTAAATAACCATTGCTTCATTTGTATTTTAATGTACACTAAATATGCATTATTATAAATTATGCTGCTTTTATATGTTAACAATAAATATGCATTATTCTAAACTATGCTGCTTATTCATTAATGTTAAACATACATGAAAACCCCAAAACTGATAAAAGAAAGAGTATTAACATTTTCAGAGAAAATATGTCTTTCACGGGACAATATATGATTCATGCAAATTGCATTTGGCACTTTTGTTTTGGACAAAATTAGTGGCATTTGCAGAACTTAGTTATGCTAACACTATAAGAAAAACATTCTATGTTTCACACTTGGAGGGGATTCTTAGTGCCTTTGATAGTACTTTAACTACATTTTTTCTTTTATCTTATTGTCATAGTTTTTATTTTGTTTATTTATTTATTTATTTTTTGTACAAAAACTTATTTTGCATCATGTAATTCCTGCCTTGAGAGACATATCACTCAGTGTAGTATGATGAGGAGTGAAAGACAAAATGGATATATGCCCTGACCAATTCAGGAAACATCAAATCTACATTTGCTTTGCCAAGTCTGTGCCAATACCTTAATCAAACATGATTCATTTTGATAAAGGGCACACTTCTGTGTTGGCAATTGATATAGATTTCTCTTGAAGGACAGATACTACACTCAATCATCATATATGTCACAAAATGGCAGTTCAGGGCTCCAAGAAAAGAAACAATGCACTGATTATTGATGACTGGTAGAAAAATATTTGACGTGGATTCTAACAAGTCAGCCTAATGTGTGACATGGATTTCTATCAATATTTTAATTGTAATGCATTATCAAAGCCTAGCTGAATGTCGCACAGTTTAATGGACGGGTAAGGTATGTTTGATTTGCATTACTCAATAAGTTCCTCCAGGGACAGTAGAAAAGTGGCAGCCATTGTTGCCTGAGAAGTTCAAAGCTGTAGTTAGACTGATAAACATGTAGGAGTCCTCAATGGATACCAAATATCTGACCTATATGCTCATCCATAATTTAATAATTTCACACACAGCTTTACCTCTCAGTATGTTAATGCCACCTTTTAAGAACAAAATAAATGCACCAAACACTTTATTTCGAAGCTGGAACAGTTCCCTTTTGAGACAGTAAAACTCATATGAGGCAGTTTTTATCAAAAAAATAAAAATATACATTCCTTATTTGTGTAAAAATCAGAGAAAAGAAAAACTGGTACATTTAAGGGTCATATATGCCCATCTTAGTATTGGAGTTCAATATCTGTAGTTTAAATTAATATATCTAAAAAGGCATAGAAAA